ACACACACACACACACACCGAACACGTACACGTGTGGGCAGGTTGGGACGATGAACTTGTTTATGCACTGGAAGAATGACGACGGCGTTGAGGAGCTGATCACGGCTCCGCTCGACGGCACCATTCTCGAGGGCGTCACCCGCCAGAGCATCATCGACCTCGCAAACCAGGTACTTGTGGTGGTGGTGGTGCTGGTGGTGGAGAGCGTCGCTGTGTGACGTGACTGTTTCCCATGTCGTTTGGCTTTCCTCTAGTTTCCTCTTTACACACGCACACACACACACACACACGCACACACATACACACATACACACGCACACACATACACACATACACACACTCTCTCTGTGTGCGCGCGTGTGTGTGATCAGTGGGGCGAGTTCCAGGTGAGCGAGAAGTACTTTACGATGGGCCAGCTGACGCGTGCGCTCAAGGAGGGCCGCGTGTACGAGATGTTTGGCAGCGGCACCGCAGCCACCGTCTCCCCCGTCGGCGAAATCCTCTACCGCGGTCAGCATGCCCGTGCCCTTGCGTGTGTACATGTGACTACGAACTTGGTTGTTGTTGTTGTTGTCAATGCTTGAACGGCGTGTGACTGCGTGTTGCTGTGAATACCTGTAAGATGTGTGAACCTGTGCTTGTGTGTTGTTGGCTCTGTGTGTATGAAGCAACACCTTCTCATCACGCCATTGCGTGTACGCACACAGAGGAGACGCTGTCCATCCCGCTTGAGCTGGAGACCTCTGGCAAGCTGAGCAAGCGTTTCATGGATGAGCTCTTTGCCATTCAGGTGCACTTATCGGCTTGCGTGTGTGTGCGTGCGTGTGCGTGCGTGTGCGTGCGTGTGCGTGAGTGCATGAGTGTGCGTGCGTGTGCGTGCGTGTGCGTGCGTGTGCGTGAGTGTGCGTGCGTGTGCGTGAGTGTGTGGGTGTGCCACAGCAACACGTATGTGGTGGGGATGTGCACATAGCGACCCAGACCAGTCACACACGCACAGACAGACAGACAGGCAGACACACACACGCACACACAGACAGACACACAGACGCACCCGCACTGTACACCGTCTCACACTAGTTCTGCGCTTGGACATCTGATGACTGACTGCCTGCGGACGGACGAGGTTGAGCACGAGTGGGCCCCTGTCGTAGTGCTGAGCACGGCCGCCACCGTGCATGTGCGTGCTGTGT